CACTCTTTCTACGATTGAATCACATATAATTCGACATATAATAAATTTACGGTTAAAATATGTGTGTTATATATGTATAAACTTATATATATGTATGTGTATATATATATGAACGAAAGTGTCAAAGAAAATTAACAAACGGCAATAATTATTTAGTGCGACTATTTGGAGAAAGATACAGTTGATTTCCACTAATTATATCTAACAAACATTTCTTCCCGAGAGAATCTTAACCTACAAGATAAGAAAAAAAACACAACGGAACGACAGTTAGGAAAATGATGTTTTGTAATATATATATATATATATATATATATATATATATGGTAGGGATAATATTTGGATCAGTACCTGTTGATTTTAGCCCAGTGGACCGGCGCTTTCATAGCCCCTGATCGCTTCAGTTATTGCGTGTTTCACTGTTTCAGCATCCATATTTTCTCCGTCTTCATTCTGCTATTTTAGAAACCATAGGAATAATTAATCGACATACAACCATCTATATGTATGTGTGTGCATGCATGCATACATACATACATACATACATACATACATACATATATGTGTGTGTGTGTGTGTGTGGGTACGCATGTATATGAATCGCTTAGTGATGAAGATAAGTGATATCTTACTTCTTCCCCTACGGCTTGCAAGCTAAAGGTGTCCGTACACGAAACCCTAGCTTCAAGAACATTGAGTCCCAAATCCTCGAAGGCTTCCAACACGGAGACCAGCAAGCCCTGCTGATTTTTCCCTGTGAATACATTTATCAGAAAACCCTTTTCTAGGGTTTCAACTGTAACCTGCAAATCAAACGTCAAATTAGAAACTTCACTGACGACAAATGTATATAGTTAATTGGACTGTACGATCTATATATATTTAATAAAGTGAATACATTTATTTGTTTCTATATGTTTTTGGTAATGTTTTAATTATCGTACCATGGGAAATGGATCGGTTCGATCCCTTGAAGATTGCTCGGCTGCGATCTCTTCGTTGATGGTTTCGACTTTCTGCTTAAGTTCTTGGATATATTTGGAAGCATCCACCATGATCGATGCTTCGTTCACCTAATTCCATGTACACATACACATAGTTTAGTACTTCGAAATCAGAATGGCCATGTCGAGTGCCCATGAATTTCTTTCTTCATATTTGGCTGACATTTTTTTGTCTATATATGTAATGTAAGTGTCTATGCTTATAAGAGAGAATCGAGTAAATTATGTAATGTTTTATAAAAGGAAAGTACCCAAAAAAAAAACACAACTTGCGTATATACACACAAAAAAGGAAAAAAAAACGACCAATATATCAAGCTTAACATGTATGTACATGTGTGTAGCATATCATCATCATCATCATCATCATCATGTGATCCTTAAGTTCACTAACGATCATTCATTTAAAGATTGATTTCCTTTATTTGCCTCACAACATAGTTGATGTAAAAAAAATGAAACATTTGGTTCAAAGAAATCTCAAAATTAAACAAGTTATTACTTACACTAAAGGTCTTTATAGCGCCCATCTCATTAAAAAGAAAGATTCAAATGATAGAGAGGCTGAAAATCACGGGAGCACCGAACTTTTTTTTCTGGATAAAAAGGACCAAACTTTGATCATGTGAAGAATTAAAAATCTAAATCAAGCATGATATGAAGTTATACATGTGTGTGTGTGTGTGTGTGTGTATATGCATATGCATGTGTATATAACTAGATCTATAGATACAGCCACAAACGGAGCACACCACACAATGATCGAACAGGCCATTGGAAGAAAGAAAACAAAGGAAAAGAAAAGAGAAAGGCTATGAGGGAGAGGATGCTATTAATTACAGCGTGGGAGTTAGTGATTGAACGAAGCAATTGAAACTTCTCATGCATAGAGGAATCTCTCTTCTGCTCCCTCGAAGCCATTCTTCTTCTTCTTCTTCTTCTTCTTCTGAGTTTTCCCCAACTCTTTTTCAATGCAATGTAGAGCAAGTGTGTGCGTATATATGTGAGAGAGTGTGTGTGTGTATATATATATATATATGAGGCTCTATATAGAGAAATGGAATTTTAACGTTTATAGGATGCTCTTCTCTCACATGACTGCCATGGTCTCTTGATCGGTACAAAATATAATATACGGACAACTGGTAACTGTATCTCGTGAATTACTTGATTGCCTCTATATATGCCCTAACCGCGATATTCTATATAATATCCTAGTGAATATCTATATATATATATATAATATGTATATATATATTAATGGTGATTATATGATATATGTATATATATTACGCGTGTGTGTGTATATCTCTCTACCTACCAAACTAATGTGAATATGTAAATTGACGATTGAATCACTTTTTCTTTATTGTATATGTTTCTGAGAATAAAACACCTGAGTGTGATGGTAACATAAACACGTAAACCTTAATTTATATCAGAGATTAATCTATCCATACACATGGGCACATACTTATTACCTTTAATAATGATAATAATTAAATACGTTGGTATATATTTTACACGTTCTACCCAAAAAAAAAAAGGTTCATCTTGTCACATCTTTGAATGATTTCCACCACATATAATCACACACACACACACACACACACACACACACACATATATATATATATATATATGCATAAGAGATTCAAATTAACTAATTATATCATTGCGTGAAAAAAAAAAAAACAACTACTATAGCCTATAGCTATACCGTATTCTTTATTTGTCATTGATTGTCTAATTGCTAGTTGAGATATACCCAACTAGGTCACTACATTGATTTTCAAATTCCCTTAAAACGGCACACCATATAATAAACACAAAAAAAATAATATTAAGGTAATGATATTCATCGAAATTATCGATATTTTGAAAGAACGAACTTCTTATAGGTTGCAATTGTTATACCTAAAGATGACAAGTTCTCTGTAAGATTAACTCATTGTGAATCGACTATAGGGTAAGTGTTACATTCTCAATGAAGTACAAACTATATATATATATATGCAACTAAAACTAATCAAGAAAATTATGAGATGTTATTACAACATAAACGGATATATAATATACAACAAGGAATCACCAATCTCACATCAATGAGCTACCACTTTTTCCATTAGTTTAAAGTACCCAATCGCATATTCTAAATTTACAGATGATTTTAATTAAGAAGAACAAAAAGGCAAAAGCGAAAAAGAAAAAAAATGGGAATCATGAGCTCGTGATGGTGAGAGGAGGAAGTGGAAATGATGAAATAAGAAAGAGAAAAAAAAAAAGGAAAAATGACTTGAAAGCATCGAGAGAAGCGAAGGAGAAGATAAAAAGCAAACAAAAGAATGTTAGTTGTGATTTTGGAATGCCTCCAAACACTCCTCACGGGAGATCTTTGTGAAGACTACTCTCCCCTCTCTCTTCTACCTCTCCTTGTCATCTCTCTCTCTCTCTCTCTCTCTCTATATATATATATATATATTATCCCTTTGATCTCTACACTTGTGAGTATGTGTATATATTTCTTTTTTGATGAAAATACATGTATCACTCACCCTTTTTGAACACACACCAAAGTGGGCTCATGCCTTTCGAACACATCGCGTTTATGTTTAGAGCTTCATGTGAGAACCAAAATCCTTTTGGCAAAATATGTTAAACAACTCAATGTTATGAGAACCGCGAATCTCCAACGTCTTCTACGTGGAATAGTGAGCTATAATTACGTGTATACTATAAAACTATATACATATATATATATATATATATATATATATATGTTTGTGAGAGAGAGAGAGAGAGAGTGGAAGTATGGATCGTTTGGGGCCAAGATTGGTAGCGTTATATATATATATAGAGCATTGTCTATATTCCACAGGGACAAAGGAACGTACCCACCAATTCACATGTATGCCGATTAATCATCACAACCAAACAATAACGCTACATAGCACGATACCCTTCTTTCTTTCTTTCTCTACCACCTTCGTAAACATCCAACTATTCACTTCCTTTTTCACCTTTACAGCCTGATCTTATACAATTGATTATCAAATTAAAAAGGGTTTGAAAAAAAAACATTTCAGATTGATTTATACCTATTGAGTGCGTGACCGGTTTAGTTTGGTTATTTTGTATTCACTATGGGTTTGATTTGCATTCATCTTGCAAAAGTGTATTAGAGTATACATACATGTGAATATTTAGTTGGTTTTTCTCATATTCTGTTTACTGATCAATGAGGAATCAATGCTTATACAAATCTTTCAATTAAACCAAATTTAAGCGACCTAAATCGGTCATATGATCTATCAATTAGAGTAACAGTAAAAATAATTTACGCAGCTTACTGCGTATGAGATTTGGAAAGAACGAAATGGTAGAATCCACCCGGTATAATGAATTATGTTCACCATTTTCGACGTAAGATTTAAAGATCGGTGAGAACCATTCTCTATTCACTTCAGAGTCTGACGAACACAAGAATGAACGATTTCCTTCGGCATTGGTACCGACTAAATTAGGTTCTGTGTTTCACTTTTACCCGTTTATGTATGGGAATCCCTTGTATTTTGTAAAGTTGTTTTCTTTGTAAAGAACTCTCTTTTTGGTTAAGAAGTAGTACAATCACATTCATACAAAAAAAAACAGTAAAAATTATTTGGTTGCGAAATATTTTTTGCAAATACAAAATTTAGTCGTGCGGTGAACTTACGGATTATAAAAAAATTTCAACGTGGGAGATATTCTATTTACATTGGTACCAAGGTTTCGACGAAGCACGTTGACGAAGAAATCGTGGAGTGGAAAATATCTATTGCATTTAAAATAGATACATTCAGATATATATACGAATTCATGCATGTGTCTATATGTGTAAGTGTTCGATCTTTAAAGACAAAAATAAAATATGTTATAATTGTATATATCAAGAGGGTTACGAATTAATTATTCCAATTTCTGGTATGCCTTGGTCACAGTTTAATGTTTTTTTAATCCCTTTTAAAATACTTAATTGTGGACCTTATTATAAAATATTAACCGATTGCAAGAAACTGTGTGCCATGATTCAATCCTCTTTCGATTGAGTGTGACCGGATACGTACGTGTGTCTGTATGTATGTATATATATATACACACATGTGTGTGTGATACTCCGGAAATTAAATAAAAATTAAAGAAAATGTGAAAAAAGAACAAAATTAACAGATAAGCAATTTTTTTTTGTCGTCTTCATATGTATTGAAATCAACTTATAAAACTCGTAATCTTTTTGCCAATCACATATATTTTGGTTGATTGATTGAGGCATAGATGAAGCATTACAATCACTAGTACCAACACAAGGACCGATGGACGTACGTACGTACGTATGTATGTATGTATGTATGTATGTATGTATGTATGTATGTATGTATGTATGTATGTATGTATGTATGTATGTATGTATGTATGTATGTATGTATGTATGTATGTATGTATGTATGTATGTATGTATGTATGTATGTATGTATGTATGTATGTATGTATGTATGTATGTATGTATGTATGTATGTATGTATGTATGTATGTGTATGATTATACGTGGAGCATGTATCCTTGGACATGTTGTAGGAAATGTGAACAGGTGTCCTCAATGATTTTATACATGTATTACGCTTTATAAATCAATATATATGTATACATATATATAATAGTTTTATTAATGCAAATAGCCAGCCGGTTTTATTTTATTGTACACATGCAACGCAAATTTGGGATCTTTTTAACGTGTCAAATTTTTTTTTTCAAACTTTTGTATTATTTTTTAGTTTTTATTTAATGCACGAGATAAGCGAACCGAGTTAAGACCAAACATTTTCTAACAAGTATACAAACGAGTTGGCTCGAACCCAAAATTTTTGAGATAGTCACGGTTCGGATTGGTCGAGTTAACTGGATCGTTTGTTTTCGAACAATTTCAAGTGGATATATTATTAGGTATTAATAATACAGTTTTCAAGTTTTGGGGTCATTTTGGGCTGGATGATTCGGTTATAGAAAAATTATAACATTCGTTTTTTATATCAATTTCGGTTCAAGTCAGATTCGATTTTTTTATCCATAAAAAAACTTATTTTTTTTAAAGAAATTTTCTGTTTTTCGATTGTTTTTTATTTGACTCGGTTTCAACTTTTTTTTAATTTAGAAAAATAATAACCATCTAATTTTATATCAAATTCGATTTGATTACAGTTATTTTTTATTCGATTCGGTCTGGATTCGGTTGTTCGGTTAATAACCAAAATGGTCGTTTTATTTGTGATGTTTGGGACACTAAAATGAGTTGGGATGACAAAGACAAATAAAAAAAAGATGGAACTGTAAACCGATTTGTCTATAAACATAAAACTTTTATCTTGTGACATTGATATATATTATATATATACATCATATTAATATTGGATTTTTTTTTCTGAAATTATGGCGCTTATTTGCGGACTTGTACGCATTTTCAGTCTAATTTAATTTGTTCATCAAATCAATATATTAATAAAATTATGCAACGAAAAATAAAGAGAAGAACATTTAAAAATCTGAAGAAGGATCACCAATCATATTGCTGTAACAAGATGTCAGAATATATATATATATATATAAAAGTTTTTTTTCAAAAAAAAATCCAAACCCTAGAATAATCGAAAAGTTTTTTTTTTCAACAACGTTAAAACAGACAAAACCTTAAGTACATGCCAAATTTAGATAATTACACTTCTCGATCGAAATGATCCAAATAGTTTTATATTAATTCTTTTTATTAGATATTTTTTTTAAATTGCATGGTTCAATACTGATGGCAGTTGATTTAGAGGAAAACACAACAACTGTAATTTAATAATGACCATGAATTAATTGTAAGTGTAATGGTAATTTTAATTCGATTCTACGATAATGTAAGAGAGTTCAGACACGAAATGATTCTTGTGACTTGCTAAGCCAAAACTCACGTGAGTTGCATTTCTTGAAAGTACATTCACATGCATATATTTGACGATAAAAGACAAAATTATATTAATCTCTAAAGTTGTGAAATAAGTTAGAGAGAGAGAGAGAGAGAGAGAGAGAGTTTCGTGTTGGCAACTAAAACGCATTGACACTACAACACACACACACACACACATATACACTATGTATATATATCTATGTATATATAAATACTATCAAATTATATAATAAATAAGCCTAATAGAAGGGTCACGATCACTATTTTTGAATTCTAATATCTACAAACATATATATACAAGTACAAAAAAGACGTAAAGAGTCTCGTGTTTGCGACAGCTATATCTCTTTTGTCTTTCTCCTCGGCTGAATTATATTATATTCTTTCATAAAATAAAATTGTGTTATATTCCTTTTCCCGAACAAATAATGGTTAGTGTCATTTTACGTACCATTCACAGCTTTACGAACATATCTAATCATGGTTTAGGATTCCAATAAATATATAATAAATGGAAATCCAACATAGATCCACGTGTAAATCAATCATTCGTCCAATCGCCTATGCCTTTGGAGAAGGATTCTGTGCGACTGCACCATTTTTACGAGTTGATCCAAGCCTATATATGTAGTTGTATTTAATGACGTTTTAGAGAATATATTTTGTTACTAAATGGATGTGGCTTTAGATTTTCTAAATTATTTTTAAAATTTTTACAATTTTTTCTTTAATTAAAAATATCTAATTTCAATAAAGTGTTGATAGAAATGTGATTTAATAAGGGTATACATGATTTTTTTTATATATATTTTCTCAAAAGTTTTGTGAAAAATTCTAAAATGTGATTTATTTAGAAAAGAATGGAGTGATATTTTGCTAATGCAAACCCAAAAAAGTTAAAGCTCGTCGTAGTCACCGGAAAGTTAAACTCGTGGATATTCAATGCATTCGTGGAAATTAATAGAAATTAAAATCATAAGTTTTAGATTCTTAAAATTAACAATTGTTTGTTTTTGTTATAGTTTATTGATAAATTAATGAATTTATTTATATATGTACCATAGTAGTTTTTTATATAAAGTATTCATATTCTCTCCAATTAATACATTAATGAATCGGATCGTACGTTGTAAAAATAAATGACACGAACGGGTAATGGTGACACAAGTACTCTCTTCCGCTTGTAATTATTAAATTTATGCTATTTGTATGCATTGAAAATTACAAAATAGCTTTTGTCTATGTCACTGATACAGATAAAAAATATTTATGTATCTCTCAGTAGATGTTGCTTCAAGAATGGGTTATTTAATTAATAAGCTCCAAGATTTGCATGGGCCATCCATATATATATATATATATATATATATCCGAAATTCACAAGAGGAGACCAAAAGGACAAAATAATATTTGTATATATCTTATAAGAATGTAAAAATAAAATAAAATAAAATTTTGTAGTAAGGGTTGTTGCGTTCGTTCTAACCTCAACCCTTCATGAAGGTGACAAAAGAATCAACGAAAATTATGTCACGGGGGCGATTTTGGCCATCAAACATCACTACACACACACACACATATATATATATATATATATATATATATATATATATATATTCTAATATTCTAATTATTGTGTATACATATATATGACGATTTCGATATCCATACAAAAAGGCAAACCCCCAATCATGTAGATCCTCATCATATCATATACATATATATAAAAAAACGCGTACATAATAGCAAATATTTTTATGTAGCAATAGATATATATATACACGTTAACAATATATATATATATATATATAGATGTTTGCTGGATCTTTCAGGCATTGAGAGATAGTACCTTCTTAAATTATGAAAATTCATGTTTGTCGCAGACCCCACGAATCTCGGAAAGAGAAAGAGAGTAAACATTTCAGGGGGGAAACGATGGGTACTTTTGATTCTTGATTGGTTCACAAAGAATTATAAAAATAAAAATAAAAATCTTCTACATAACATAATCCGGATTTCATGCATGACTAGATTAACCAATTATAAAATAAATAATAAAGATATGTGTTATTTCGATGTGGAGTGGCTGAATTGTATAGATGGTTGAAAATGGTAGGGGTGTCGTTGTCCCAAATCTCGTGTGCTCGACTAGCGGTTGAGGAGAAAATACATATGTTAATTGTGGTAGACAGAGTGCCTGCAGATTTTGAAAGATATAGTCGAGTCGCCTATATCTTTGTCTCGGATGGGCCCAAAAAGGCTTCATGAATATGTTTCCTTAGGCCCAAAAGGCCCAAAACACAGTCAAAGGGGAACACATAAGAAAAGGTTGCATGAATTTGTCTCGGATGGGCCCAAAAGGCTTCATGAATATGTTCCTTAGGCCCAAAAGGCCCAATAGAATCGGACGCAAAACAAACAATAACGAAAAGAGCCCTAGTTTGCCATCTATGCATTTCAGGATTCATGGAAGACTCTACTGTTACATAGAGAGATCGGAGATTCGCTTCAAAACTGCGAGTTGTATCATGTTCTTCTCCTCGAACTCTCATCGGTCTTTAAAGCGATAATAACGTCGAGATTTATCTCGTTTTCGTCATCCCAGTGGAATCTTACGAACCCTTGGGTATTGATTTCGGATACTGTATCGTGCCTTTTGGCAATGCTCTGACTCGCCTTTCTGAGTACAGTAGAACGAGGTTGGGTTTTGATCAATACAGACATGAAAATACATACATTTTATACAGTCACGTGTAAATCCAGCAGCTACAACAATCATTACATCATCTTAGGATGTTTCAGATCAAAACCAGAAGAAAAAAGAGTGAAGCTAGTTTTGATTGTTGCCTTGGCGTCTGTCCCTTCTCCAGTCCCATGGCTTCTCTGGATTCGACGAAGCCCACAAGCCAACACGTCTCTCCCTTGCCTCTTTCTCCCACTGAATTTTACGTTCAAAAAACGATTTTTAGCACACAAGTCCTATCGTCGATAAACTCTCTCTTTGAGGATTATTACTCTCTTTTACCTTTGCAAGTATGGTTCGCTTGTCGTATGCTACATAATGCCACGCGAGTCCTTTTTTCAACATTACTTCCTGCATATAAAAACCATTTCAGGAGGTCCAATAACCGAATAACGCAAAAACGTTCGGATCGTATCTGATAAACAAACTGAATTGGTATGGTTTCGTTAACGTCGAACTCAACCCAGAATCCGAAACGGCCACCCCTAGGTTTAGTAGATTGGAGACACAAACGTCAAATGATTGTAGTATGTGAAATACCTGTACAAATCTCCCATTGCAGTATATATCTCCTACATATCGTCCATACCGATCTTCTCCATAAACTAAGATCCTCAAACTTTTTTTTCCAACCATCTTAAGTAACTCTTGTTGTGCCTCCTTCCCATATGGCATCTGGCTCTCCGGTGCATCTATTCCCCTGTTTCATTTTCATCCCGGATTTTCTTCTTCTTAAGCATTCTACATTTTATTTAAAAAGACCAGCACTTTTAGTTGATCTTCTCTCGGAGGAAAAAAGCTTGTACCTTAGTCGAATTCGGAACTTACGAGCAAGGATTTCCTCGTTTTGAATGTTTAGGATCCTGAATTCACGATTTAGAAGACGAAAAGAGTCAACAACTCAGAAGCATTCAGTTGTCCAGGTTTAAAACCGGTACTCACCTGTAACCAGAATCCGTAATTTTCTTGTGAAGTTCATCTGCTTTGTCGTAATCTTTCCGCTCACGAGCTTTTGCTCTTTTAACTGACGCAAGAATTACCTCTTTCGGAACAGTAGATGATACAGATGGGTCGGCAGTACTAACATACACAGTGATTGTATCGCCATCTGCCACGGCTTTCGGATCCACCTTACATTTTCATACGACATGATAATTTAATAAGCAATGTTATACGATAATCCGAAAAAAATTATTCATCTTTCCTAATCGATACAGAAAATTTTCTAACCGGAAGAGTTTGAAGTTCATATAGTACTCCATCGGGTAAAGAAGTGGGAGCCTCGGCGGAGAGGTTAACAAGAGTGTGAGGCAAGGGGAGTCCATAGAAAGTTAAAAGCCCCTGTTATAAACAAAAGAACCACATTAATCTTTCAAAAACTCGCAGAGATCTCTCATCTTACACGAGATTCATACCTCAACATCTGCCTTCTGATGCCTCTTTAAGGTGTCAATGATAAGTCTAGAAGCTTCCTCAGCTGTCTGTGGTGGAGGTTTTGCTTGCTTCCATGCATCAAGCATCTTTCTATACCTTCACATGTTTGGAAGATCAAAACAAGTTCAGACTAATGCAGTAGATTACATGTAAAGCTAAAAGCTTTTCACACAACAAGAAACTTTTTACCAGTTTGCCTGAGCTTTTCTGGAGGATACGACATAACTGCCGAGCTCTTCAGGAACCTGGTGGAAGAACAGTGAAATTTCAGATCGCCATTTGAGCAAACCCAATTGATTATTGATGTTCCAATATCTAAAAAACACTCTGAAACATGAACAAGATTTGACAAGGGAGGAAAAGAAATACGAGAAAAAACATGTGGAGGAAGAAGCATAATGATCAGAATGTCTGATCTGCACAAATTAGGGTTTGTTCTAATCGGCATTCAACTCAAATGTTCACTCATCCCAGCTTGTGGGCTAGTCCAAGAACACATTTTTAAGCAGGTGAAACCCGGAATTATCAATAAAACCCTCTGAAAAAAGACAAGGACAGAGGACAGGAAGACAAAACAACAGTAGACAAGGAAATCCAGAAGCAGAAATGGCCAGAGAGGATGAAACTGGAGACCTGGGAAGTGATCTCGAAGTTGAAGAGATCGTGGGCAAGAGCAGAAACACCGACGGTGGCGGCGGAGACGCCGTGAGGACCGAGAGACTCATCGGCGGTCGTGGGTTTGCAGCATTTTCCGTACAGAGACCTCAGTGCGTTACCCATCTCGATCCAATTTCAGGAAAAAGCTTCGACCTTTCGGCTGGAGAATTTTCCAGAGGACAGAGGAGGAGAATCCAGGACGGAGAACAAGGAGGAAGAAGAAAAATCTATAAATGGGTAATCGGAAATTATTTAAAATTAGTTCAAGAAAGAAACTTTGGGAGAGATTTTAAATATCTCAATTTTCAGCTCGTGGCATTTTTTTTATTTTTTGTTAACTTTAACTTTTTATTTTTTAAAATTCCTTCAATCTTGTTGAGCATATTGCCTTGTTATATTATAACGATTTTATAATCTTAATTTTTTGTGAGAGATTTTCTTTCTAGCCTTGTTTTTTTTTTAAATTTTCTAAAAAAAGATTATACGTATATAGGGTATATAATATATATTGGAATTGTGACATCGAAATTTCACAAATAAATAACTAAACTTCACGTGCGACAAAAAAGCAAATTTCAATTATAATCAATAAATACAATTATATGCTTGTGTTTACAAAAGAAATAATATCTATACAAAAGCATCCCAACAATGATTAAAATTCTTGAAATTCCAAAATAAATAAATAAATAATATATGCCTCGGATCAGACGATTACTTACCCACCCAAGTAAAATGAAATGTAGAATGTCCAATCCGAACACGCACAAGTCAAGCCTACGTGTAAGTCACTGTAAACTAGTCAGCCAATGAGAAAGCTACACGTGGGTGGAAGCTATTGGATTAAAAAAAATAATGAAATAACCTTAGATTGTCGTTATTATTTGATTAAATAAGATTGAAATGGTTTGACTTTTGATACGTCAAGTTGGACGTATTTGGGTCATCATTGAATTTAGCATCTTTATTAGTTTAGTTTTTATTTTGATTATTTTTTTAACTTAATATAATATATAGATAGGAATTTTTACATATTCAGAATATGTATATATATAAGTAAATCGAATAAGAATTAATGGGGCGGCCTAAAACTGCGTCGCGTTCGGGGCATGCGGTGCACCACACGAGACATGTTGCGCTTTGATGTTTACTTTCGTGTTTTTTAGCTAATGTAAGATCTAAAATACGTACCATTGTACATAATATTACAATTATAAGTATCATATCTCAATATCGTCATTCATTATATATATATATATATATATATATATATATATAAACTGTTTCTGTTTGTTTGTCAAATTTTACTGAAAAGAGTGACATGTTTTTTATTAAATCCGTTTTATTATTAAAAATATTTTTGGAAGAAAACACACCATATATTATTTTGGACCCACACTTGAATAGGGACGTGACGGAATGAGAGAGAGAGAGAGAGACAAAGAACTTTCTACGTGTTCATATATTCGAGAAAACACCCAACAACGTTGTCGTGACTCACCAAAAACACAACACACGTTCACACAAAAAAACAGAGAGCCAAAAACCAAAGAGATCTTCACCACAAAGAAACACTTTTGGAACCTTTCGTGGAGAAGAGGACTCCTCCGACGATGGAGGTGAAGTGGTGGGTCGATGGCCGTAGAATCAAGCACAGAGGCTTCTGGTTCAAACCAGATTTCATCAAAGCCTCCGAAGAGATTCAAGCTCACTTCACCCCTCTCTCTTCTGACATAATCCTCTCCTCTTTCCCCAAAACCGGCACCACCTGGCTTAAAGCCCTCACCACTTCCATTCTCAGACACTCTTCATCATCATCAAACAGCGGTACTAAAGATTGTGTTTCTTACCGTGAACATAATGATGATGATGATGATGATGATGATGACGTCCTGGGTGCTCTTAATCCGCACCAAGTCATACCCTTTTTGGAGATCGAGACGTTCGGCCAAAGCCCTACAAGGGACATCGCCAAGATACCGTCTCCTCGTGTTTTCAACACTCATCTCCCTCTCTCTTTCTTGCCCGAGGCCGTCAAGACCTCGGGCTGCAGAATTATATACATAACCCGCAACCCTGCAGACACTTTTGTATCTCTTTGGCATTGGTACAAGTACAGGTTCGGGACACAGATCTCAATCCAAGAAGCTTTCGAAGAGTTCTGTGAAGGGTTAGTCCCCGCTGGTCCGTACTTCGAGCATGTATTGGAGTTTTGGGTGGGGAGCAGAGACGTAAGGACGAGGGACCGAATCCTTTTCGTGACATACGAAGATCTGAAGGAGAAACCGGAAGAGAACGTGAAGAGAATGGCAGAGTTCTTGGGGTGTTTGAAGGTGAAGGAAGACAGTGATGGGGAAGTGGAGAAGATTGTGAGAGAATGTAGCTTCGAGAGGCTAAGCAAGGTGGAGGTGAACAAAGGCAAAGGACAAGAAGAAGAAGAAGAGCATTGGAGTGGGACTAAGTTTGGGATGTTCTTCAGGAGGGGAGTCGTGGGAGACTGGAAGAATCATTTGACCCAAGAAATGATGAAGAAGCTCCAAGAGATTGCTGAGGTGAAATGGGCAGCCTCCGGTTTGGATCTCGACATTTTTACTCGTTAAAATTTAGGGTGCAGGATCTGGTTATACCGATGTGACTGCGGTTCTCAGTGGTAGCGTTTTCAAAATGTTGGTAGCGATTGTGGCAGTTGGCACTGAATAGTTGGTAAATGGTTGTTGGCAGCGATTGCGGTTGTTTGCGGATAGAAGTGAATAGTTGTATGCGTTTGTAGTTGCGATTTGATATGTAAATTACTAAAAAAGACAAGATTTTAAGATAATGTTTCAAATATATTATAAATAATTTTTATATTATCATTTAATAAAAAAATATTTTATATAATTTATAAAAAAAATTGTAAAAATATTTTGAAAATAGAAATTTCATCAATTTAATTTATTTTTAATTTAAAAGAATTTTAACAAGAAAATATTAAAAATAATTATAGATAAATCTAAAAATTATATATAATCATATAGCATTATATTTCTTTTAACTTAAGAGAACCATTCTAATCCTCTATATTATTACGAGATTTTTTTGTCTGAACTATAAGGAGTCGTAACTTTTGTTCATCTGGAAGAGTTATAAACACACCCCGCATTATCTCATTTATCGTTATCAAATTCAAAAAAGCTCAATAGAAAGGGTTCATGGGAACCAAATCGGGTACAACCATAATCACATTCACAATATTGGTCATGCGTTCTTCAATTGAAGGCCCTTATTACACTTGCGCTTGCACTTCATGGCTCGATGTCAATCGCTCCAAGTACACATTGCGTTCATCCATTGTTCTAGCAATGCATATAACTCGAATTTGATATCCGATTCGTATCCAATAAATATTTTAAAATAAATATCCGTATTCGATTTATAAACTCCGGATATCCGAATTTTTTGTTTGGATACAACGGATCGCTTCGGTTTTTTCGGATATTATACACGCCTCTAGATTTAGGAACTCAATGATTTTTTTTTTTGAACTCAATGATTTTTAGGAACTCAATGATATGTTTCTGCTGGTTGTTATTTTGAACCCATTTTCATTTTTAGAGTTGTATAGAGGTTTTCTCTTCTTCTTCGTTCTTCAATTTTGGATTTCTATAATTTGTCGTGGTCAATATTGGAGGGTTCAACAACTACGTAACGAAATGAAAAAAAAATATAGATGAAGAAAGTATCGTAAATACTAAATAATTCTTATATAATTTCCAACACAAAAGCTTTTCTCAAATTATTTTGTCGGATTGTCTCCAATAGCATATGGAAATTGGACAGACGACTTGCTTTATAAGGATGTAACCTTTGGCAAAAAAACAAAATGTGGTTCTGCGTTACAATATAATGAATATATTTGGTTATTTTTTAACAAATAAATATATATATATATATATATATATATATATATATATATATATTTGGTTATTGTCATCTTCGTTCATTCTCTGAAAAACAAATAAATTTCAAATATAGAAAAAATCAGACTGTCTAACACCGGACTATTTTTATTGTTAGACAATGATAGATAGAAATATCTTTATCTTACTTAAATACTGTTTAATTTTAAATGATATGATCTAATGTTTGATAATTTAGATTCAGTTAGCAAGGACGAAAGATATTATTCAATAATGTAGACTCGAATTTTGAATTAATTTTTTAATTATGTGGCACTAAAGATAAACACTAATCACTTACTCTGACCAAAGACAAACCTTTTAATTTAAAGTTTCCGTTTTGTTCAATTTCCTCGAAACCATTACGAAAGGGTTACACCTCGACGTAACGTGTCCGAATTTGCATGGACCGACGTGTTTCCCATGCAAGCCCTATCGAGCTTTTTTTTTCCATTCTTTTCACGTCTCATTTCTCTCCATACTAACGAAGAGGTTAGACTTGTTCTTATTCTGCAACTATATATATATATATATATTCATAAGAAAACTAAATACATATTATTATGAATTTGTGTGTAGTGATGATTTTAATATTATGTATTCAGACGAAAGGTTGAAACCCGAGTCAGTTAAACTTGTTCACAGGGCTCTTTTCTTCTAAAGTTTAAAATAAAGATGTGAACAACCCAATTTTTTTTTTAAATAGGGAATTGATTTTTTATGACATTATTTTTGGTAATAGAGAAATTCAAAATCTGTACAATTATTAAAATCAATAGTTGAATATATATATATATATATATATTCTCTATATCTAACCGAATACAGTGCTTAAATTAAATTTGTTTCTGCTAAATATAACTAATATCTTCTCCTATATGTTTTTGTTTGGCAAAGTTTTGTTAATTACAGTATATGTAACGTTTAGAAAAACGAGCAAACCAACTAATACATTAATCCCTACTTTGTAGGATTTAAGAACATTGCGAAAATAAGGCATTTCATATATTTTTTTTATGATTTCTAAAATGCCTAAAAATCGTAATTCAGGTTATACTTTATATAAAAATCCGAAATTCGATCATTTTATTTTCTCGGACTTTGTTAACTCCTTCTCACGTTTGCAACCGAGTCTATAGAGTTTTTTTTTTCCTTATCATTCTACGCTGTCGTTGGAGTTAAAATGAATAATTTAATTCTAACAAAAACGAAATAAGTAAGATAATATTTTATCACATTAAAATTCTGGAGAAGAAATTGATCAAACTAAAACCGAATTTTATTTTAAAAAAATAAATTAAAATCTAATATAAAATCAGATATATTAAACAATAATAAAATAAAAGAACTAAACCCTAATTATCCACGGTATTAGTGGGCTCTTCATGGGGGTTTGTTACAAACCGCGTAAATTTTGTGGGCTGCAATTTTCGATTTATGTGGACTGCCACTTGCGTCCACCCTCACATTAAACTATCCACTAATCCTAATTCTTTATTATTACTTCGTTAAAAAATGAAAATAAAAAATGCAGCAAAAGCCGTTATCCTTATCCACACAGTGGCATAACGGGAATTACGTTGAATATTAGGGGTAATAACGTCCAAACGTATAAGACAGGGAATAGCTTAGGCCCAAAGCAAAGAGTTAAAGGGCAGGATCCAGCAGGTGACGGATTCGGGAAATTTCGATGACACGTCATCACAAAATATCTGAAATAACACACGGGAAAAAAAAAGTTATTTAAATACCCTTAAGCGTATCGTTTCTCCAAAAAAAATCCATTTCGAATTTACAAAAACGAAAAGAGCAAACCTTTTTTTTTCTCGTTGGCTTCGGATCTTGGTTTCTTTGTCCTCTGAAGTGTTCTCGTTTCTTGTATGCCGTGGAAGAGTGGTGACAGGTTCGTTAAAAGATTTCGATTTCTATTTTCATTTTCTCGTCCTGATTTCTGTGTTATCTATCTTCTTTGCGGTTGATTTGTAAAGGGGGTTTATGATTCTGTGGGCATTTTGATTGTTTTTCCGGTTCGTGTTCAAAAGTATTGATTTTGTTTTTTTTGCATGTTGGGTCGATATTTGGGAAATTTGTCTGATTTTATGGTTTCTGGGTTTAGATTAGAGGGTGAGTGTCCTTTCTCTGCTCCGGTTTACGTTCTGTCGGGTTTCTTGATTCTTTAGTGGATGGAAACTGGAGAATTTCTACAGAAAAAGGAAGAATCTTTTGTTCTTGGGAGGAACTGTAGATATTTCCATTGTTCTTACTTGGCCTTTCTAATGAATTCGAGTTTGCTCCATGTCTGTATATGTATCTATCAAGCTCGTTCGTGATCGAATCTTCTTTTTGGTTCACTGTCATGCTCCGTCTCTCTCTCTCTCTCTATATATATATATTGAGGAGGTTTATATTGTTTCTTAGAAGGTGGTTTCCTTCTAAGTTGTATAGTTCACTGTATTGACTGTTATAAATGGCCGTTCTTGACCAGAAAACGGCTGTTCTTGATCAAGTCGTTAATCTCTACTTCAAATCTGGTTCTTGAAGCTTTCCATACACTTCCTCGATCGAATCACTGTCTCATTTGGGTCTTTTGCATTGCTCGTTTCCTTTTGGGTTACTTAGCCTTCATCTACTGCTAATTAGCTACAGACGTATGTAACTGATTTTGATGTACAAGCAAGTTTAATTCAATATACACGTAACCTTTAACAAAAAAAAAGTCATTAACCTCGCTTCTTTGCCGCCCAATTCTTTCAGGAAAAGGAAGTCAAGGAGCAGAGGGGATGGTGCCACTGTAGCTGAGATTCTAAACAAGTGGAAAGAATACAATGAGAGAGAGGAGACGTGTAGCGGTGGTGAGAGAGGTAAAAAGCGGGCCCGGAAGGCTCCTGCAAAGGGCTCGAAGAAGGGTTGCATGAAAGGGAAAGGAGGACCTGAAAATGGAGATTGCAGATACAGAGGAGTTAGGCAGAGGACCTGGGGGAAGTGGGTTTCCGAAATTCGGGAGCCGAATAGGGGCAAAAGGTTATGGCTTGGCACTTTCCCCACTGCATATGAAGCTGCATTGGCTTACGACGAGGCCGCGAGGGCCATGTACGGGCAATCCGCCCGCCTCAATTTCCCGGGTTCTTGTTCGATTGCCACCACGGTTTCTGATTCCACAACTTTGTCGGATGGTTCAGAAATTTGCGCTGTTGAGGATGCCAATGTGGTTCCTAGTAGTGTTGAAGTGAAACTAGAGGACGGTAACGGTGAAGCAGTTTGTTGTATACCGAAGATGGCGAAAGCGAGAGAGGGAAGACAAGTGCGAGAGCAGGGTTCAAGTGATGGTTATGGCAATAGACAGGACCTGAAAGAGGAGCCTAGAGAGCAATGTTCAAGTGATGGTTATGGCGTTAGACAGGACCTGAAAGAGGAGCCTAGAGAGCTGAGTTCAAGTGATGATTATGGCATTAGACAGGATGTGGAGGAGGAGCCTGTACTAGCAGTAGCAGCTATCGATGAATCTACAAATTCTGGAGAGGATGAACTGGCGCTCGGGCAAGAATCATGGCAAATGTTGGATGTAGAGGAGCTGTTGGATCTGTTAGAGGACAACCATCTCTCTGCCAGAGAGACAAAGCAAGATTCAGAAGCTGAAAGGCCATCAGATTTCACTTACCAGATGCAGTATCCAGACGCCAAGTTGCTCGGAAGCCTCAACCACATGGAGAACGTCGATTCTGGATTCGATTACGGGTTACCGATTGCTCGGGACAACGAAAAGATTTCCGATTTCTTCGGCCTGGATTTACCGAGCTTGGACTTCGGAGAAACCCGTCTCGTGGACAGCCGAATCGTTGCTCGGGATCTCGGATTTGCCCCTAAATCGCCAAAGGTGGAGACTTTCGATTGCGATTGCAGCACAAGGTGAAAAAGAAGAGCTTGGAGCTGAAGTTTCATCTGTTCACTGTCCAACTCTTGAAGCTGGCGACTTTCAGAATCGGATGATATACTAATTTCATCGTTTTTGTATTATATACTCTCCTGAAGCACTGATGCATGTGCAGTTGGGGATATGATTCGTTCTTTCATTTCTTGTGAATACAGATTTTAAAGTCTCAAGTTTTGGCAAATTTATGATTCATATTAGATTCTGGGTTTGTCTTAACTTTGATCCTGCGTAATTGCAGTACTTGATATGATGACCACTCCAAGAACCGTCAATGTTTTGTCTTGACAAGTTCTGGTGAAATGCTGAATTTCATGTATATTGATGGATGTGTATATGCTGAAGGTTCAGGTTCGGTTTATTCTCGGTTATTTTTTGTTTTAAAATCTTATAAATAAACAATTATGTGTTTTTTTATTGATTTGGTTGGATTATAACAGTAAACGAAACAAATTTTATAGTTATATAAAGTAGTTATAAAAGATATAACATGTATGGTATATTAATCATATATTAATTATTGATATATAGATAAACAAACGATTATATTCGATTTATTAGGATTCAAATTTATTCAAATTAAAGATTAAATTTAATTCGGATTTGGTAGTGTACTCCTTAATTGTATCGTTGGAACCATAATATCGGAAAAAATTATAAATATGATTTTTATGTAAAATTTCGAAATATTATTTCACTTAGATAAATCGCGTCGCGATTAATTCGAATATTATGTAGATTTTCTATGTGTTATTTTAATTTTTAACCAAGTAAACAAACTATACTATAGTATAAATGGTCATCCTGTCTCCGAGAATAAAATGCTAAGATAATCCAAATAAATGTTTTGTATATTTTTCCTTAATTGGATTAGATCATATTAATTTGTTGTATATTTTAATCGTAATTAAAATGGTGCTAATAATATGTATGTTTAATATTGGTGGTGGGGAGGGAGATTTTTGTGGTACATAACCAAAATATTGCAAGATCAGCAACCTGTATTTGTAAAGGATTCTACAAGTTGCAAATTCTACAAATAAAATTATATTTAATTAATAATATGCAATTTGTTCGACTATTTGTATCATCCTAACAACTAGTTCTATGAAATATATGGTTGTTAGAAAAGATAATGCATTCTTTATTTTATTTAATTTTTTGCTAAATTATATAATATAATACACACATACTTGTTATATAAAAAACTATATATATACAAACCTTGCATAATAATTATAAACTCCAACCATGTGTAAATGTAGGAAATAGCCACAAGCAAGTAGCAATAGTTGAATTACATAATAATATAATTTATATACTCTAAGATCAATCCATTTATAATGAAAGATAATCTAAATCCGTTCGGCCAAATCTTCTCGATTGAACGTACCGAATAAAAAAATATTTAATTCTAACTTTGTTCAAATCTTATTCCGGATTCAAATTCAAGTGCGAAGAAAGATATCCATTGGAACTTTTTCGATTATAAAGAAGATGTAATTTGACCACTGGTGGAGTTCTGAATTATAAAAAAACTTTGTTCACCCAACTTATTAATATCAATAAGTAAACAATATTTGATAAAGAAGTTTATACCGAGTTCTTTACTTATAAATTATAAATTAGGCCGAAAATATCATCTTAATCTTTAATATCATTTTGATTTTCAATATATATATATAACTCGATAATCTAACCAAATAAATTAACAACTATATTTATATCTTATTTATTTACGTATATTTTTATTTATTATTAAAAGTCGTTTGAGATTATAATTCAAAACAAATACGATACAAAATATAAAAAATCATATCCAAATCCAAATAAAAACTGTTTTTATATGTAATTAAGTGCAAACAAATATAAAATTATAATCTACCATTAAAATACAAACAAATACTTCACCAAAAAAATCAAATAATTATTAAATTCTACTTACATTTTTATGTATTTGTAAAACTAAACCATAGTTGACTCGCGAATTAACAACTTTTGAATTCAACTCGATCTACTTTATTTCAAAAAAATTTAACCCAATTCATCTCGAACCGATTCGCGAGTCGCGAATCGTTTTCCCTTGCTTGCAAGTTGCATGTGGTATGCATTGGTCTCTCTCTCTCTCTATATATATATTTGTATATGTGTGTATATAATGAGATAACAAATAGTAAAGAGTTCTAGTGGGACCAATGGTCCACTGTGTCGACAAATCTTGACATGATTCTATTTCGAGTTATTTTAATTATTTTTAGCTATCTGGATTATTAAGACAACATGGGCAACTGAAATATTCGACATAATTAGGCTTTATATCACTCGCTTAATAAGTAATTATAACTCCTTAATTTCAATGTAAATGTTGGAGTGGCCGCGACTATGATGAATAAGGATTAAGGACTGCAATTGGACATACCAGATTATATAATATATACACATATATATAGATATATATATATTATATATATAAAGCTGTCGATTTTGTTTTCTTCAAAACCAAACATATTAGGAGCGAGGTCTAATTGGATAAGAATAGACTTGAAACGAAACAAAACCTAAAAAAAAAACAAATAAATAAATACAATATTTTCTATATATCCAAACAAAATACTAAATTTACACGACGAAACCCCCAAAATCAAATTCCTCTTACTTCGTACATCATGATCTGTATAAATACATATAAACACAAACGTTGTTGCTTGCTTATATGTATACGCACCTCATGACAATTTCTCTCGTCATCCCTCACAAACAAACCATTAATCATTTTTAGGAAGCTACAGAGTACATAAGAAATGTTTTTCCGGCTGCAGTTCCAGCGATCCGCCGCTGACGTGGCAAACGGCGCCATGAGCAACGGCCACAAACAGCTCCAGCGGCCGTCAACGCGAGTGTGCCTGACGCGCGGTATGCAGGTCCCCGAGCACGTGGCGCTCAGGCACACGCGTGCGTTGGGCCCGTGGCAGTGCTGCTCCGTGGTGACCCGTCATATCCACGCGCTGCCGTCCACCGTGTGGGCCATTCTCCGCCGGTTCGACAGCCCTCAGTCGTACAAGCACTTCGTACGGAGCTGTCACGTGGTGCAAGGCGACGGTGTCCACGTGGGGTCCATGCGAGAGGTCCGTGTGGTGTCGGGCCTTCCGGCAGAGTTCAGCGTCGAGAGGCTTGAGATCCTGGACGAGGAGCTCCACGTCATCAGCTTCAGCGTGGTCGGTGGGGACCACAGGCTCAAGAACTACAGATCGGTGACGACGGTGCACGAGTCGCCGGACGGGAGGGGGACACGTGTCGTGGAGTCATACGTCGTCGACGTGCCCACCGGTAACACTAAGGAAGAGACATGCAGCTTCATTGACACCATTGTACGGTGCAACTTGCAGTCGCTGGCTCAACTCGCCGAGAACTCGCCCAAGACTCAGCAAAAAATCTCCTAATTATTTTTTTTCTTTCTGTGTTTTTTTTTTTGCTCAATAATTACAAATTTGTGGGTTTGTTCGTTTTTCGAGGTTAGGGCTTTGGGGAAATGTAAAGATATCGGACCTCTTTTGTAATTGTACGTATAGTTCTTGAACTTTATAACAAAGATCTTTGTGTTAGGGTTTTGCCAAATCAACGTCACAGCTTGCAATTTCAAATTACGTCCAAAATCTATATTCACTGATTAACACCATCAAATACAGACTCCAATTAGTGATTAGATTTCCTCGTATATGAACCGTACGTATTATATAATATATTTTACTTTGTTACAAAAGGTGGCTTCAAGAAATCAATTGTATATATATGTTTGTACAATTGAAAACTATGGTGAAGTTTATATATATATATATATATATATGTTGGTAGAGGGCTTAACTATAATATAATCATCGACCGTGGAGGTTAAGATTTGCACGTTTTTGTTCGTTTTAATGAACTTGTATATTGTTCATCGATAGATTTAAAAACAATTTCTTGAGATTATGCAATTTTCATTTTCATCATATATAGCTTGCCATTAGAGAAAGCAAAGAAGCGTGAAAGCAAAGAAACATTCACGATCTTAATTAGCACTACATTTTGACAAATGGTAGACGATGCGCCTTCTAGAATCCAAAATTTTGATCAATAAATTAAACTAGGAATTTGGCCAATTGCAAAATGCAAGTTGGGTTTAATAAAATTCAACTTGGTTTAGGTAAAAAAAAAAAAAAAAAAAAAAACAAGGCAAGTTGCAAATAGTCGCTAAATATTCCATCAATATTACAAATATAAGTTATTATTATTATTATTATTACTAGGTATTTACCCGCGCGAATCGCGCGGAATAAAAATATATATAGATTTTTAATAATTTTATTATTAATTTTAATTTTAAATGTAATATATTTCATTTTTATAGAAATATCGAGGTGGAGAGATGATATTTTTTTTTTCGATCTATAATATAGAACCGTTGTATATCAGAGTAATATTTTATTAAATTTTATAACTATAAATTTTTTGCAAATCGAGTGATATCTAAAAATATATAAATATTGAAAGTTTTAAAATATAATTTTAAACAACAATATAAATTTAGTTATCATCTCAATTTGTTTTATCTGATTTTTCACAACTCGTAACAGATCTATTATCGTCTCATATAATTTGATCCGACGGATATTTCACTTAGAGTATACATTTTAAAATCTGATCCGATAAATCTCTATTTCAAAATAAAAACACATAGACACCTAACACACTCTTACACATTTTAGTTTTTATATTGCTGTTTTTTATTTATTTTCAAACATATATAAAAAGATTTTTTGGAATCAATTAAAGAAGCAAAACATTTTCCCCTAATTATAATATTATTATTTCAATACAACAACAATAATAATACATAATTAAACTGTGTAAAATGAATATAGATACATGTATAGATATAGAGAGAGAAAGTGACATTTTTTGTTCAACCTTGTGCTCGCCCCTCTGGCCTTTCCCTCTCCTTATTGCGGTCGAGCATTATTTAGTCTTATTGGATGGAGAGGAGAATGAAACTTCTCATCAACAATGATATAGAGCAAATTCTAATTAATTTTGATAAAAAAAATAAATTAAGGTGGTGGATCATGAATCATTTCATAAGCTACCGTGATAGAAAATTTTATAATATAATATAATATTTGTCTATTGATTACTCAATCAAATTGATTTTAAATAAGATATACTTATTTATATTATATCGTTTTAGAAAGAAGAAAACAAAGGTCTATAGAAAAGATAGATAGATAATTGTGAATCACTATTAGCAATTTAAAAAATATACATATGTTACACCAAGTATATTTATTCACCAATCTTGATATTGAATTTGATCAATTTGATATATAACCAAAATGTCGGTGCGTAATAAGTGATAACATTTTCCTGTCTTTCAAGGATACCGTATCTCAAAATTGTATAACTACAAAAAGGGTCAAAGTTGTTATGCTTGGTTGGTTTGATTAATTTGTATGTTATATCCATATATAAACTCAACTCAAACATCACCCCAACACATTTATTATAAAATTATAGAAATTTTTTTCAGATATAAAAATATGATTTGTTAATATGAATGTAGTAAAACTATAAGATAGATGAGTTGTTTAAGTTGGACTAAATAAAAATAGAAAACTTTAACAATATAAAAACATCATTATATTTTTGCAAACATAATTAAATCAATGATAGAATATTGACATCGCTACATAGATATTTTATCGACTCAATGTAACCGATTTGTTATGGTTGTCTTCAATATTGGTGTGACTTTCCTTCAATGTCTGCAAAAAATTCAGTTGTAAAGTAATAATAAAATTATTCATGTAAATATTATAATAATAGATTTTTTCAAAAATGATATAATTTATTTACCTTAGACGGAAATTTTTGATAATGTTGAGTTTTTCATCTATATAAATCTTTGTAGACGTTGATGTATTTAGCGATAGAACACCTAATACGTAAAATATATTAGTAAACATAATATAACCATGATAATGGTTTTTAGATATTAATCTATCAAATATTTAGAAATTAATTTGTGTTAAATAATTACCGTCGATAATCTTTGGATTTACACCCGTAACAACTATGATACTTTTTCTGATATTCAATCTATGTATTTGTGAACGGAGTTCTGCGGCGAAATCATCCCATACGGAAAGCTTGACGATATTGTTGCTGGTTTTTATATTAAAATTATATGTTAATATGTATAAAACTAATTAAGTTAAAAAAATTTAAAATGACATTACTTGCAATGTAAATAAATTTTAAAACTTACTCTTCTAATAATAAACGGAGAATAAGTTTCTGAGTTGATGACGACATTCGTAAATTTGATCCTTGTATTGCGACTAAAACTCCAATAACATCTGTAACATTAGCAAATATATTAATTATAAAATCCAATATATTTTTTTTTATTTTTTATAATATCACATACCTGGTAGATCTTGTTTTTTGTCCGCCAATGCCAACAAATCGCCGTATAAACATATTCGAAATTTCTCTTTGGCAATACTATAAGTAGTTATAACAATCTTTTCAACAATAGTATATTCCGTAAAATAAATACGAAATTTATTGTTCGTTAATTTGTATATATTTTTATTTGGTAGAATCTTGAAATGTCTGATTAAAAATACATCTCCCTCGTTTAATATACTTTCAAATTTTTCTACATGATTCTGAAATATTTTTCCTTCAACAACATTCTCCTGCAACGATGTAAGTTGAAAAGATTAGATTTTTTATAATCATAACATAATAACATAAATGCTAACCAAAACGTACTTTTTTATCGATTAATAAGAATCCAACGCCAATCAATCTATTTTCATTGAAAGGATTCCGTTCATCCCAGATCCTTAGAAATCTGGCCATAATACACCGATAATTATGATGTGTACTCATCTGTTCCAATCTTATATGGGTTGATATCACTGGGTGCATCTGATTTTTCGATTCCTACAATGGATTTAATTTGATTAATTAGTAGATAAATATTTTGTTTTATATAAATTAATAAAAATTAAACAAAATTAAATGTAAGAGATGTTTTGATGGTGCACCAAATTGCTCGAAATAAAAAAATATTATATATAGATATGGAGAATAATATCTATATAATATGTGATTCATTGTTATTAAAATCAAGTTTTAAAAATAAACTTAATCATATATATAAAAAACAAACATGTTAAAGGTAAATTGACAAACAAAACAAATTTTTTTAACTTCTATATATAAACATATATATAATATATATATATATGATATAAATAAAAAAATAAATATATGTTTTGTACGGTATTATGTGAATAAAAAATATAATATATATATACGATAATTTCAAAAGCGATTGACACAACTAAATACTAAAAAAAGCGGGATCAAAAGAAAACAAAAAAAATACAATCGAATAACAAATCTAAACGAATCTGAATGGATCTTTGATATCAAATACATACAAACACAAAAATGATCGTTTTGTTGGATTCAAAATTTGTATTGTTGATGTGTTTGTTCGGGGGACATTTCCATCATTTAATAGTTTGGAATTTCACTAATTAAAGTAATTACTGTTCTAAGTAATTGTACATGTTTCGATAATTACATGTTCTAAGTAATTACATGTTTCGATAATCGCGGAAAACCCTGATGAAAAACGACGAAAAGTTATGTTTGTTAATATTTAACAGATTGTTAACAGCCTAACACTAAGAAATTGATATGTTTGGCTAGTTGATTTATTAATCAAAAGTAAACCCAGAATATTCTATTATTCATCAAT